TTTTAAACTTGGAAATCTTATTTATTTTTGGCGTATGAATTTTTTGAAACCGTTTCTAAATCTTTGTCTTTCAATCATACCGCTTCACCTGCTATCCTCTTTCGTCGCACCTATGAGGCGGGCCGCATCGTTTGGGAACCACTGAAATAAGTCATTGAACCTTTTATTTGTCTATTCATTATCAATAGATAGATAGATAGATAGATAGATAGATAGATAGATAGATTTAGTGAACTCTCTCCTCCAATTTGTGGACTCTAGTTACTATATTCTTAATACTTGATATAATTCAAAAATATTACACTGATGAAATAAAACAATAATTATTTAATAACAACCTATACTGGGACCCATGCATATTTTAAAATTGAAATCTTATTTGATTTTGGCATATGAATTTTTTGAAACCGTTTCTAAATCTTTGTCTTTCAATCATACAGCCTCGCCTGCTATCCTCTTCCGCCGCACCTATGAGGCGGGCCACATCGTTTGGGAACCACTGCTCTAAGGTAAGTAATAATTATAACATGACAAATATAAAAGCATAGGAGGGGGACTTGCTGTCGCATTATTCGCTGCGATGGCATCCAAAAATTCCGTTATGTCGATTTCTTTTAATTACATGTTCCTTCACAGTATAAGCGATTGTTGTTTCCCACAGATTTTTTTCCTTTATTATCTATGAATTGCTATGACTTCTTGGGATGTATAGTGGAGTGGTTTACCGTTTCCTTCTCCGCTGTGATTCTTCTTTTAGACTGGCTGAGCCCAGTCTCCTCTTCTATTTAACCTCTAACCAAGTGGAGAGGAAGAAGTGATACACGTTTTTCCTAAGAGTATTAGTGTCAAAGTAAATTTAGCAGATGAAGTCGAAACTCGGGTCGCCGATTTCACTTTCGGTACCAATAGTCTTCAAGCTACGCCAAGAAGAAACGTAGCAATAAGAAATGTAAAGATAATAAATTATAATCATGTTACTCGGACTACTACTAATGCTACAACTACAACAACTACTAATACTGATACTACTATACTAATGTTACAACTACAACAACTACTAATACTGATACTACTACTACTAATGTTACAACTACAACTACTAAAGTGTTGGAATGTGTCACGAAAAAATAAATGATTTCGTCTCTTTTCCCCCATGTCGAAGGACAGACACAGTCTCCACTTCTGAGACTGAAAAACACTGCCCTCCTTCTCATTCCATCCCTTTACATAGAGCTTGGTAAGTCACCTATGCAAAAACACCAACAAGCCAGCTACCAATCACAGTTCCCGCGCCTGCCCACCTCCACTCGCTTTGGGGGTGCGGGTTGACCAACCAACTGATTACACGCCCCCTGATCTTAAGATCACAAAGCTTCTTAGTTCGAGAGATGGTTGCGTCTGTCTAGTGACTGCGTCCGCATATATACAACTTGCACGCTTGACATATTGGGATAACCACACATGCGCGAACTCGTTTGCTCCAAGGTGGCAGATTTCCAGATTCATCCTTTGTCTTGCTGTCATGATCGTACAACTCTGGGCAGGCCTCTTCTGCTGGGCACTCCTTCTGAGCGGGATGACAGGGTCCTCATCCACAGATGAACTCTCATCCGTTGAGCTACCATCCGCCTCTAGACAGCTGGCCACGTTGACGTCCGTAGGTAGAGTAGTGATGTTTGAGGTAGAACTCAGTGGATCCGACTTTAAATACACCACTCGCGCACCATCTTCAGAGTCACTTTCATCATCTGATGATGGTTTTAACCTTACAACTGGCCGCAAGTCTTTAACATGACAAGGCACGCCATCAACCCGCACTGACTGCGGGCTGATAATCTCGGTAACATGCACCATTCTAAGCTTGTCCGTATACTTGCTGTGCGGGGCCTTAACCCACACTACGTCGCCAATTCTGTATTTAGTTTGCGCGTCGCTCGGAGCCATTGCAATGTCAATGCCTTGCAGCCGTAAATGATAGGCGTGCACCATGTTAGCCGGTGCTGTTGTAGGCGAAACACCGTCTTTAGGCGTCGCATTATACCAATAGACTGCTTCGGGGATAGAACATCGCTTCCTGGCTGCAATCACTTTTATAGACCGGTGGATCCTTAATAATGTCCATCCCAAAGAGCAGATCAAAACCTAATAACGCGCTGTCCACGACCAACACGCTGACTGTAACGGGGTTACCGTTGTTGATATTGAGTTTGATGCTTCCAACTCCCCGGTTTCTGAGAGCTTTTCCATCAGCCGTTAGTACGTCCATCTTTTGTCTGCTTCACTGTCGACAAATCGAACCGTTCATGAGTGACCGAGAGTGACCCGAATCTACTAAAACGGTACGCGGTATTCCATTGATGCGCACCTTAATCACAGGGAGCGCCTCTTTCATGCTCGGTGCGGAGAAGAGACCGGCTGACGTCGCATCCTCCATTCTATTTCCCGGACACCTAGAGGCAATGTGACCTACTTTATGACATTGAAAACATCGTAGATCGAAACGTGCCTTTCGTGCCGACCCACTGTGCATTGCTTTGCGTTGATAGCGGCAGTCTTTGGCAAAATGATTCGGCCCAGAGCACCGATAGCAGGTGACATCGCCATGTCGACGGATGGCTGGGGTCGGATCCTCTTTGACTTCAATTGGCTGAACGACTGCGGCCACTGGTTCATCAGCCTCTTTTTTTCGTCGATCATGATAGCACGGGCTCTGGTCAACAATTGATTGAGCGTCAGGTCTTCCATTCTGGATGATGCACGGAGTATCTGCTTAACATGACTGGGCAATCCAGACACGAAGGCACAGGTCATCCATTCTTCAGGAAGCGGTGTGATCGGTACGCCGAGCTTCTTTAATTACGCCAAATATACGTCTACTGTCTCGCCAGGTCGTAGACGCCGCGCCTGAATTGGTCATAGGCCACGAACCGGTCAGTTCCAAACGCGGTTAGTAGAGCGCTTTATTAGCTCAATGTCACTTTTCTGTTCTTTGCTCAGCTGCTCTATACACAGCAAGGACACCGCCTTCAATCGCAGTGGAAGAATCCGTTCAATCTTCGTGATCTCGCATAATTCGCAGACCAGTTCCACCTTTTCGATCCATTCAACCACAGACTGTCCACTGTATCACCACTGAATTCGAGATCAGTTTTATGTCGAACGGTCTTTCCGCCATCTTGCTAGAGAGAAAGTAAAATGCCGAAATAGCTTGTGTTGAATGTGTCACGAAAAATAAATGATTTCGTCTCTTTCTTCCTGCTGTCGAAGCGACGGACACAGTCTCCACTTCTGAGACTGAAAAACACTACCCTCCTTCTTTCCATCCCTTTTACATAGAGCTCGGTAACTCACCTATGCAAAATACCAACAAGCCAGCTACTAATCACAGTTCCCGCGCCTGTTCACCGCCACTCACTTTGGGGGTGTCAAGTTGACCGACCAACTCATTACAACTGATACTACTACTACTAATGTTACAACTACAACAACAACTACTAATACTGATACTACTACTACTAATAATAATTATAAGGTTCGCCATGTCCTCTAGTAGCTGACGTGCTGAAAATCTTTGTTAATGAAGTGGATGTCGAGAATGAGTGTTTTCTTTTTACGTTTAATGGATGAGGCAGCCAAGGCGACTTTGGAGTTACATCAATATATTTCGGTACAATCTCAATCAATAGACCATCTAAAGGGACTGGGTTAAACCTGAAGGTTTTTCTAACTGGGACTCGCCGGGAAAGTTATGCCTTGTTTTTATCAAGACCTATCAACATATCGCGTAAATTTGGCTGTGATACACGTGCCTCTTATCCGATTATGTACCATATTGGGCATATTGGGCTTTTTTATATTTATACACTAGCATCATTTTATTTGAATCTGGATTCGAACACAAGTAAAATGATTTTGAATGCTATTTTTTAAAAATACATATATGCAAATGGGATGTTAGGTTAGAATAAAAAGTTATCAGCGTAGAAAGTGAAATCGACAATTCGAGTTCCAATTTTGGCCGAGTCAGTTGCGGTAATTTACGCATTATTTGCTTTTGGCAGGAATCCATCTATTTTCTCCGCTCCATATTTTGAGTTAAATAGTAGGTTGGGTAGCCCGGTTACTCTAACCTTGGGTAAAAGCCAGTTCAGGAGAAGGACAACTTTGTTTTACAAATACTAGAGAAGGCAATGGGAAACTATTGTTTCCCAAGAAATCGTGCCAATTCGCAGATAAAGAGTAAAGGAATCGGTAGAGGGACATAAACGCCTCCATTTTGAAGGAAAATTCGATTTTTTTAAAAGCTGCCACTAAGGAAATTGGCGTAACACAATCTTCATTCTTCTTCTTGCCATACTAATTATAACATGGTGTATTAATATCAGAACTAATAAAGAACAGGATTCTTTGACTTTTAGGTGAAAAAATTTAATATAATGGTAATATTAGCTGTTTCCTTATAAGCTTTCATTGCCCGAGCAGCCAATGCTAATTCTGGTTGATATTTATAAAATATTTCTCTTAAAGCAATTTTCGAAGAAAATAGATTTCTTAAGTCCACGGACTGTTATCACTCTTTCCATGATTAATAGGAGTTTCTTGCCTAACCTTTTGTCTGAAGTGGTGTGGAAGGTCAACATCTTGATTATGACATTAATTTCTTGTCGAATCACATTTCGATTATTATTTTTAGTATTTTTCTTTTATTACTTATTATTAATATGCGTTTAATGTAACAGCGGCTCAGACCGAGAAACCAACGAGCAGGGTTCAAATTCTAGTCGAGTTTGTTTCATTCATTTTCGTTCAAGTAACCTTTGGAAAGGACAGAAGACATTCTTTCTTCCGCCATCTATGAGTTAATTAGTGGGGCAGACTTGGTATTTCAGCCTTGGTTGGCAACCATTCTAGGAGAAGGATTCACTTCGACGTGGTGTGATGGCTATCAAGCTGGAATTGAAACTCGGATCTCCAATTTTAAACCACCATCACATCCAGGCTCACAGCACCTGGTATTCCCAAACTGGTTACCCACCCAGTTACTGACCAAGCTCGAGGTTGCTTAACTTCGGTGATCGTACGGGAACAGGTGTTTAAACGTGAGGCGGCCTTAAGCCATATCGAGGTGAGATTTATGAAAGAACTGAATATAGGATGCGTTCCATTAATTTCCTATGAAGGGAGATTTTGATACTCATTGACAGAACGACTATAAAATCATCTTTCGTTTTCCGTTTTTCGTTTTCCGTTTCTGAACCCACTCCCTGTCATTTTGCAATGGTAATGGTTTTGCTTACTCAATTTAATTACTGGGATACGATATATTAAATCATAAATTACAGCGCTAATGACAGACAATTGAAAATTTATATTTTGTAAATAAACTTCCCTAAGCACTCACTCTTTTCCCTTCATATATATATATATATATGTGTGTGTGTGTGTGTGTGTGTGTGTGGTGTAACAGCAAAATTGTCCAAATCTTGTTACGGCATAATTGTCCATCCCACATAATGTTTAATATTTAAAATACTACTTAACTGATTTTACTTTTTCAGGTTTTCAGTTAAGACGTTCAGCCATCTTGACATCATTTCTCGTGTGAAACACTGAAAAACCCTTTGATTTTAAACCGTTCTCTTTCAGTTAGAAAGAGAACGGTTTAAAATCGTTTTGTGTTAGCACCATTGTCTTCTCAATTGAGCATTGGTCGGGGGGTGGGGAATCATTAAGGCCTTCAGTAATAGTACCAACATTCATACCCTGGCTTCCATCATCAAATTCCATTCAAGAACCATCAAGAAAACAGTGAATTAAGTTTTAAAAAAAAGGACCAGTACAGAGGAAAACTAGATCAGGAGGTCACAACAGGAAGAGGGATCATTCGCTCTTTGTTTGTAGCTGCATGGGCCATCGGGAACAAAATATTTCACATCACCTACCCAATCTTCGATATAAATGAACTTTTCCAATGTACGACCAAATTTCTCTGTCTTCTCAGAGAGAAATAATTTTATATGACTTGACTGAAATCAGGTTGGGCTGGTCGGTTTGGCCAAAAAGTTCGTTCGGTTTAATAAGTAAATTTACTACTTAGCGCATTCCAGGGATCGGGGTTCTCCTTAGATGACCTCTCAGGCAAAGACGCATTATATAGGGTTGGCCAAAAAGTCCGTTCAATTTATTAGGTACGTAATTCATAAACAGAACGAACTTTTTGTCCAACCCAATAGAATGCATCCTCGCCTCAAGGCAATCATCTTTCTCTCTGGAATTAAATAAGGCCATTTCTTTTTGTCTTAGGCGTCCCCAAAGTGGCAAATGACGGACGATCTTGAGCATTTTTTTTTTTCTTACCCATGTATGCTTGCGATCCTACTTTTATTTCGACCTTGTTGTCCGCTCGATTGGGTAAATACCTATTTAATGAGAGACGAAATCGCGAGATAGACAATGGCTTGCGAGATGAGGCTGCTAGCGATTGCTCTACAGTAGGTGCCCCGATCTATTTCTTTTCGTAATCTCACTCTTATCTTTTGATGTTCGTTTCATTTGAACATTGCTTTTGTTATATCTTGTTAATCACTTCTTTCAGATAGAAAAGAGCCTTTTAATGGCTATTAGGTAAGACTAAAATCATATCCTCGTCCCCGCCATGGCTCTCAAATGCAACACAATAAAAACAAACTAAATAAATAGTGTCGGCGTGACACAACAAAGGAATAATGCCGATTGATAAGCTTGAAATGTGCGCTTGTCCACTTTGAGCAAAGCCAACTTAGCGATCTTGCCACAAAACACTTATCGAATATACTTCAAAAGAAACATTTAACATTTTTCTTTTTTTTTTCTTCACTGGTCTGTGGTTAGAGCGGTTGGACTTTTCTTAAACACTGACTCTCCACTGCCCTCAACTCTTGCCGAGTTCGTGTTTTGGCAAAGTAGTACGCCTCACATATGCATCCTTGTCTTAGACTATGTTAACCTGGGTTTAAACGGATAACGTATTTTTCCGTGTATAAGACATTCTTTTTACCCTCAAATTTGACGACAAAATCTTCGTACGTCCGTGAAACGGCAGGTTTGAATAAAAACAATCAACACGATTTCAGAGGGAAGAAACAGACAAAGGGCAATATTCCTGAAATGAAGGCAAAGAGTATCCATTAATAGAAATCTAATTTTTAAAGCAAAGGGAAATCTATATGATAATAGTTTAGAAGATTACACTGGTCATACACTGTGTTGTTATTGGTTCGTAAATGACAAAGTTTCGTCGTAGTGTTATTGGTTCATGAAAGACAAACGTCCATTGTGGTGTTAGTTCATGAAAAGCATTTTTTAGATCTTCATTAGCGGTAGCAGGAATTTGTCAGAATAAAAATAATATATTGATTTATTTTGTTTTTAGAAGGCGGGTCCAATTTATAACATCGATACACTGTGTAATCGATCCTTGACTTTGAAGAGTGAGCGAATATCAAATTTAACAATATACTAACATCACTGACCTCTGCATCTATTATTTTCACATTTTTTTTTTTTTACATTTTTTAACATTTTTAAAAAAAAACATTTTTTTTTTAAATTTTTGTATAGGATTTCTTTTGAAAGCACATGCACAAACATATGAGTTTCATAATTATTTATCTTAAGTTAACAATAAACGAATAGATAGTTATATTGATTTATGTATTCTTTACTTAAAGGTTTTATATATCCGTTTGTTCATTGTTTAAGAGAAATCTTTTTTATAACTCCACCTTAAAAAAAGGTTTGTTTTAGTACGGAAAACGTCTAGAGTAAATAACTCTGTAAAAGTCAGAGATCGATTTGACACTGTATCGATATTATAAACAGGATCCACCTTATAAATCGATAACAAAACAATGTTTTTCGATTCTGACTAGTGTCACGGTGTAAGGAAGGTTTTTAAAAAAATGATAATCAACAAAAAGTTTATTTTCTCCAAAAATGGTCCATATTTTTTTTTATGAATGAAGCTAGTGTTATTTAAGTAGTGCTCTTCGTCAGGCTTTGACCTCATTTTGGAATTCCTGCATTTATTTTTGCCTTTTTACATAAGCTTTTACATACCTCTGTGTACTCTTCTGTTCATCTGCTATGCGTACTCTTCTGTTTATCTCTTCTGTGGACTCTTCTGTTCATCTCCTATGTGTACTCTTCTGTTCATTTCCTCTCTGTACTTTTTTGTTCATTTCTTATGTGTACTCTTCTGTTCATTTCCTCTGTGTACTTTTCTGTTCTTCTGCTCTCTGTACTCTTCTGTTTATCTCTTCTGTGTACTCTTCTGTTTATCTCTTCTGTGTACTCTTCCTGTCATTTCCTCTCTGTACTCTTCTGTTCATCTCTTCTGTGTACTCTTCTGTTTATCTCTTTTATCTCTTCTGTACTCTTCTGTTTATCTCTTCTGTGTACTCTTCCTGTTCATTTCTTCTCTGTACTTTCTGTTCATCTTCTGTGTACTCTTCTGTTTATCTCTTCTGTGTACTCTTCTGTTTATCTCTTCTGTGTACTCTTCCTGTCATTTCCTCTCTGTACTCTTCTGTTCATCTCTTCTGTGTACTCTTCTGTTTATCTCTTCTGTGTACTCTTCTGTTTATCTCTTCTGTGTACTCTTCCTGTCATTTCCTCTCTGTACTCTTCTGTGTTCATCTCTGTGTTTATCTCTTCTGTGTACTCTTGTTTCTGTGTATCTCTTCTGTGTACTCTTCCTGTTTATAATCATTTTTATCTCTTCCTATCATTTATTTCTGTTTATCTCTTCTGTGTCTATGAGTTTAAATAATAGCATTTCTAACTGTTTATCTACTTGTCCCTGTGTACTCAACTGTTTCAGAATAGTTTATCCACTTCTGTGTACGAAACGCAAACGTTCCTGTCATTTCCTGCTTGGTATCACCCATTCACTGTTCATCTGTCTTCTGTGTACTCTTCCTGTTCATCTCTTCTGTGTATTTCTGTGTACTTTGTTAGAAGAGTGGTTTAAGCATTCGTTCCCTATGTGTCGAAACTCTTCTGTTCATTTCTTTGACCTTGATTTTCTAATCTATCTAATCATTGCTTCATTATAAAATCTACGTTATATCTTTTTATCATTTATTTTTATATAGATTCATTTCTTCCTGTTCTCTTCCTGACTAGAGAACGGTATAAACAAAAGAATTTATCAACTCTGCCCTGGGACCTTCCAAATCAGCTATGAGTTAAATAAAAAAAGTAAAAGAAATTGAAACTTAAAAAATTCAGACTGCTGACTATTCTCTAACTGTGGTCGGCAACCAGTATTGAGAAGGACAAAGATTTAAAACGTATTCAGTACTGAAGTAGATTGTTCCTGGTGAGTCGGACGTGCATAAGATAACTCTTTTGAACTGTAGGTAAAAAAATATTCCGTTCAGAATAGTAGTATGATAAACCACGCGTTGGTTTTGTGGGTGTTGACGAAACGCAAACGTTCCTTGTCAGAAAATCCTGCTTGGTAAGTATCAACAAAATGCTGAAAGGAAAAGAAATATCACATTGATTTTCAGTGATGCCGTTAATTCAAAACAGTTTCCAATGAACCTGTGTACTTAACTCTTTTTATTACATTGCTGGAGAAGTGTTTTACACAGTCCTTGATTTTTATAGAAAGACCAAGAAGTAGATCAACAACAACTTTTCGAATCTTCATTGAAAAAATGGTCGGAAAGAGTGGTTTAAGCATTCGATTCCAACTATGAAATCAGGGATCGAAAAAAACGATCTCAAAAATGACGTGTGACACATTTGTCACGCAGTGCCTGGGAAGCATCATTATATAATCTGCGTTATTTATCTTTGTTGAAGAACATAAGTTCCTTTTTGGTCGGAAAGATGACACCAAAAATTGAAGAACAGGTTATTATCAGGCATTACAAATTTACCTTTATTTTTCTACGGTATTCAAATGGTCGGAAAGATGACACCAGAAGCAGAAATGTAAGCCTGTTCTCGCTTCCCTGACTAATAACGAAATGAACTTCCTCGTTGCTTCGAGAGAAACAATGAAAATCTTTATAAAATATTTGGATGACATTAAGAAGGACTGGCGAAAATCGTGCCCTGGGACCTTCCAAATCAGAAAACAGAGCCCGAACACTCGTATAACATTCCAGTTGAAAAGTTAATATTTACTGCCTTTAATAAAAAAAGTAAAAAGAAATTGAAACTTAAAAATTCTGACCGTGTTACTAAATAATGCTGTTAGATATTCATACAAATGAAGAACAGGTTTTCACGCATTGGAAAGATGACACCAGAAGTTGTTAAAATTAGAGTGTGATAATACCCACAGCATTTCGGCTATTGTGCCATCCGACCTTCGTAAGATAGCACTCTGTAAAGATTTAGAAATGTTGAACAGAATCCTTCATTCAATACTGGAGAGTAGATTGTTCTCATCCAGATTTCAAAATTTAGGGATAAGAGTGGACGGACGTGCCAAGAAGCTGAAGGTAACATCTTTTGTTCTAGTTTGTCAATTTAAAAAAAATCTAGGGTCATGGTTGAGCAAATACAAATGAAAAATATTAGAGGTTTTAAGAATTATAAGTGTCAACACAGTATGGTCGGAAAGATGACACAGCAATGATCAAAAAATGAATACAGATTGAAGAACAAGACAAAATGAAAAATGGTCGGAAAGATGACACCAGAAGCAGTTTGAAAACAGGTTAGAGTGTCACTCTGGTCGTGACGGTGAAGAACAGGTTAAGAAGCTGAAGAACAGGTTAGAGTCGTGGTCGGATATTAACAAAATGTCACGCATGATACAAATGGTCGGAAAGATGACAAAGAAGAAAATAAGAAAAACAAAAGAAATAGATGATGCACACCAGATCTACTGATATGAAAACAGGTTATGTCACGCTGGAAATGGTCAACAAAGATGTCACCAGAAGCAGAAATGAAGAACAGGTTAGAGTGTCAATATGGAAACTGACACCAGAAGCAAAATATGAAGAAAGGTTAGAGACTCACATATGAAAAATGGTCGGAAAGATGACACCAGAAGCAAGAACAGGTTAGAGTGAACGCATTTACAAATGGTCGGAAAAGTGACATAAAAGCAGATATGAAGGATAGAGTGTCAAAAATACAAATGGTCGGAAAGATGACACCAGAAGTAAAAATGAAGAACAGGTTAGAGAATGATACAAAATGGTCGAAAAGATGACACCAGAAGCAGAGATATGAAGAACAGGTTAGAGTGTCACGCATGATACAAATGGTCGGAGATGACACCAGAAGCAGAAATGAAGAACAGGTTAGAGTGTCACGCATGATAAATGGTCGGAAAGATGACACCAGAAGCAGAAATGAAGAACAGGTTAGAGTGTCACGCAATGGTCGGAAAGATGACACCAGAAGCAGAAATGAAGAACAGGTTAGAGTGTCACGCATGATACAAATGGTCGGAAAGATGACACCAGAAGCAGAAATGAAGAACAGGTTAGAGTGTCACGCATGATACAAATGGTCGGAAAGATGACACCAGAAGGTCAAAAAATGAAGAACAGGTTAGAGTGTCACGCATGATACAAATGGTCGAAAAGATGACACCAGAAGCAGAAATGAAGAACAGGTTAGAGTGTCACGCATGATACAAATGGTCGGAAAGATGACACCAGAATCAGAAATGAAGAACAGGTTAGAGTGTCACGCATGATACAAATGGTCGGAAAGATGACACCAGAATCAAAAATGAAGAACAGGTTAGAGTGTCACGCATGATACAAATGGTCGGAAAGATGACACCAGAAGCAAAAACAGGTTAGAAGAACAGGTTAGAAGCAGATATGAAGAACAGGTTAGAGGTCACGCATGATACAAAAATGGTCGATATGAAAACAGATGACACCAGAATCGGAAAATGAAGAACAAGAACAGGTTAGAGTGTCACGCATGATACAAATGGTCGGAAAGATGACACCAGAAGCAGAAATGAAGAACAGGTTAGAGTGTCACGCATGAACAAATGGTCGGAAAGAAACCAGAAGCAGAAATGAAGAACAGGTTAGAGTGTCACGCATGATACAAATGGTCGGAAAGATGACACCAGAAGCAGAAATGAAGAACAGGTTAGAGTGTCACCATGAATGGTCGGAAAATGGTCGAAAATGAAGAACACCAGAAAAATGAAGAACAGGTTAGAGTGTCACGCATGATACAAATGGTCGGAAAGATGACACCAGAAGCAGAAATGAAGAACAGGTTAGAGTGTCACGCATGATACAAATGGTCGGAAAGATGACACCAGAAGCAGAAAAGAAGAACAGGTTAAATGAAAAGAACAGAAGTTGAAGAACAGGTTAGAGTGTCACGCATGATACAAAATGGTCGGAAAGATGACACCAGAAGCAGATATGAAGAACAGGTTAGAGTGTCACGCATGATAAAATGGTCGGAAAGATGACACCAGAAGCAGAAATGAAGAACAGGTTAAGTGTCAAATACAAATGGTCGGAAAGATGACACCAGAAGCAGAAATGAAGAACAGGTTAGAGTGTCACGCATGATACAAATGGTCGGAAAGATGACACCAGAAGCAGAATGAAGAACAGGTTAGAGTGTCACGCATGATACAAATGGTCGGAAAGATGACACCAGAAGCAGAAATGAACAGGTTAGAATACAAAAATGGTCGGAAAGATGTCACCAGAAGCAGATATGATAACAAATGGTCACGAAAGAAGATGACACCAGAAGCAGAAATGAAGAACAGGTTAGAGTGTCACGCATGATACAAATGGTCGAAATAAAAAGATGACACCAGAAGGTCAGAAATGAAGAACAGGTTAAATGGTCGGAAAGATGACACCAGAAGCAGAAATGAAGAACAGGTTAGATACAAACAAATGGTCGGAAAGATGACACCAGAAGCAGAATGAAGAACAGGTTAGAACGCATGATACAAATGGTCGGAAAAGATGAACAGATATGAAGAACAGGTTAGAGTGTCACGCATGATACAAATGGTCGGAAAGATGACACCAGAAGCAGAAATGAAGAACAGGTTAGAGTGTCACGCATGATACAAATGGTCGGAAAGATGACACCAGAAGCAGATATGAAGAACAGGTTAGAGTGTCACGCATGATACAAATGGTCGGAAAGATGACACCAGAAGCAGATATGAAGAACAAATGGTAGTCGGAAAGATGACACCAGAAGCAGAAATGAAGAACAGGTTAGAGTGTCACGCATGATAAAAATGGTCAGAAAGATGAAGACCAGAAGCAGATATGAAGAACAGGTTGAAGAACAGGTGTCACGCATGATACAAATGGTCGGAAAGATGACACCAGAAGCAGAAATGAAGAACAGGTTAGAGTGTCACGCATGATACAAATGGTCGAAAAGATGACACCAGAAGCAGATATGAAGAACAGGTTAGAGTGTCACGCAATACAAATGGTCGGAAAGAACACCAGAAGCAGATAAGAAGAAAAGGTTAGAGTGTCACGCATGATACAAATGGTCGGAAAGATGACACCAGAAGCAGATATGAAGAACAGGTTAGAAATGATACAAATGGTCGGAAAGATGACACCAGGTATGAAGAACAGGTTAGTCACGCATGATACAAATGGTCGGAAAGATGACACCAGAAGCAGAAATGAAGAACAGGTTAGAGTGTCACGCATGATACAAATGGTCGGAAAGATGACACCAGAAGCAGAAATGAAGAACAGGTTAGAGTGTCACGCATGATACAAATGAATAAAAGATGACACCAGAAGCAGAAATGAAGAACAGGTTAAAGTGTCACGCATGATACAAATGGTCAAAGAACACCAAAAGATATGAAGAACAGGTTAGAGTGTCACGCATGATACAATGGTCGGAAAGATGACACCAGAAGCAGAAATGAAGAACAAAAAATGAAGAACATGAAGAACAGGTTAGAGTGTCACGCATGATACAAAATGGTCGACACCAGAAAGATGAAGAACAGGTTAGAGTGTCACGCAGATACAATGGTCGGAAAGATGAAGAACAGAATGAAGAAACAGATACAAATGGTCGGAAAGATGACACCAAAAAATGAAGAACAGGTTAGAGTGTCACGCATGATACAAATGGTCGGAAAGATGACACCAGAAGCAGAAATGAAGAACAGGTTAAGTGTCAGATGATACAAAATGGTCGGAAAGATGACACCAGAAGCAGATATGAAGAACAGGTTAGAGTGTCACGCATGATACAAATGGTCGGAAAGATGACACCAAAGCAGAAATGAAGAACAGGTTAGAGGCATGATACAAATGGTCGGAAAGATGACAAAACAGATATGAAGAACAGGTTAGAAGGTCGGAAGCAGAAATGAAGAACAGGTTAGAGTGTCACGCATGGTCGGAAAGATGACACCAGAAGCAGAAATGAAGAACAGGTTATGTCACGCATGATACAAATGGTCGGAAAGATGACACCAGAAGCAGAAAATGAAGAACAGGTTAGAGTGTCACGCATGATACAAATGGTCGGAAAGATGACACCAGAAGCAGATATGAAGAACAGGTTAGAGGCATCATACAAATGGTCGGAAAGATGACACCAGAAGCAGAAATGAAGAACAGGTTAGAGTGTCACGCATGATTGAAATGGTCGGAAAGATGACACCAGAAGCAGATATGAAGAACAGGTTAGAGTGTCACGCATGATACAAATGGTCGGAAAGATGACACCAGAAGCAGATATGAAGAACAGGTTAGAGTGTCACGCATGATACAAATGGTCGGAAAGATGACACCAGAAGCAGATATGAAGAACAGGTTAGAGTGTCACGCATGATACAAATGGTCGGAAAGATGACACCAGAAGCAGATATGAAGAATTCATACAAATGGTCGGAAAAGATGACACCAGAAGCAGATATGAAGAACAGGTTAGAGTGTCACGCATGATACAAATGGTCGGAAAGATGACACCAGAAGCAGAAATGAAGAACAGGTTAGAGTGTTTTGACACCAGAAAGATATGAAGAACAGGTTAGAGTGTCGAGATAAAATGGACGAAAAGATGACAAGAAATATGAAGAACAGGTTAGAGACATGATACAAATGGTCGGAAAGATGAAAAGCAGAAATGAACAACAGGTTAGAGTGTCACGCATGATACAAATGGTCGGAAAGATGACACCAGAAGCAGATATGAAGAACAGGTTAGAGTGTCACGCATGATACAAATGGTCGGAAAGATGACACCAGAAGCAGATGAAGAACAGGTTAGAGTGTCACGCATGATACAAATGGTCGGAAAGATGACACCAGAAGCAGAATAAGAACAGGTTAGAGGTCACGCATGATACAAATGGTCGGAAAGATGACAACAGAAGCAGATATGAAGAACAGGTTAAACGCATGATACAAATGGTCGGAAAGATGACACACCAGATATGAAGAACAGGTTAGAGTGTCAGATACAAATGGTCAAAGATGATGAAGAACAAAACGCATGATACAAATGGTCGGAAAGATGACACCAGAAGCAGATATGAAGAACAGGTTAGAGTGTCACGCATGATACAAATGGTCGGAAAGATGACACCAGAAGCAGATATGAAGAACAGGTTAGAGTGTCACGTGAGAAATGGTCGAAAGATGACACCAGAAGCAGATATGAAGAACAGGTTAGAGTGTCACGCATGATACAAATGGTCGGAAAGATGACACCAGAAGCAGATATGAAGAACAGGTTAGAGTGTCACGCATGATACAAATGGTCGGAAAGATGACACCAGAAGCAGATATGAAGAACAGGTTAGAGTGTCACGCATGATACAAATGGTCGGAAAGATGACACCAGAAGCAGATATGAAGAACAGGTTAGAGTGTCACGCATGATACTGGTCGGAAAGATGACACCGGAAGTATGAAGAACAGGTTAGTGTCATACAAATTTACATTAAGAAGAACAGGTTTTTGATACAAATGGTCGGAAAGATGACAACAGAAGCTGATATGAAGAACAGGTTAGAGTGTCACGCATGATACAAATGGTCGGAAAGATGACAACAGAAGCAGATATGAAAACAGGTTAAGGTCACGCATGATTAAAGATGACACCAGAAGCAGATATGAAGAACAGGTTAGAGTGTCACGCATTACAAATGGTCGAAAGATGACACCAGAAGCAGATATGAAGAACAGGTTAGAGTGTCCCATGATACAAATGGTCGAAAGATGACACCAGAAGCAGATATGAAGAAAGGTTAGAGTGTCACGCATGATACAAATGGTCGGAAAAAGATGACACCAGAAGCAGATATGAAGAACAGGTTAGAGTGTTACGCATGATACAAATGGTCGGAAAGATGACACCAGAAGCAGATATGAAGAACAGGTTAGAGTGTCACGCATGATACAAATGGTCGGAAAGATGACACCAGAAGCAGATATGAAGAACAGGTTAAGTGTCACGCATGATAAAATGGTCGGAAATGACACCAGAAGCAGATATGAAGAACAGGTTAGAGTGTCACGCATGATACAAATGGTCGGAAAGATGACACCAGAAGCAGAAATGAAGAACAGGTTAGAGTGTCACGCATGATACAAATGGTTGGAAGGAAGTAATCAGAAGTGTTTGAGGAGGATCGGATTGAAAGATTTGTTTGGTTGTGTTTCGTGTTTACCTTACTATCATTGAATCAGAGAGTATAGCTCTCTTGTACTACCCAACCCAGGGATTGAACTTAGTAATGTCAGGGAACCAATATGAATATATTAATCCGAATGTAAATACATGAAATCATAACAATTCCTCATCTCAATTTTTCCGAGATAACTTAAAAAATAGACTGACATACGCTTCTAAAAAGACTTGGTATTCAATCATTAGAATGAATATTTCAAAGGGCAAATTAAATGAATAAAAGAATTAGTAAGGTGGATATCTTTAAACGCTTGCAATTATGACGAGTGCCTCACAATGGAAAAAAAAAAAAGAAAGAAATATTGGCCTCTTTAATAACCAACATTGCTGAGTGCAGCGAAACGACCCGTTGACTCGTGAGAACGACGCGGTCTCTCGAATGTCCTTGAGGACAGGGCGTTTAGTGCTGGGCCCAGATGTGAAGGACCGCGTCTCATTATGAAGTTTACACCTGTTCATTTACATTAAGATGTTTTTGATAATTTAGAAGTGAAAATTAATCATTTAGCGATAGATCGCTTTTATTTCTCTTTCCCCGAGACACACAAAATATCGCCAAAATTAGTCAAGTCTTATTGAGTTTTTTTTCGCTAAATTGTAATCTCTCTCCCTCTTCCTTTCTTTCTCTCACTTTCTCTCTCCCACTTCCTCTCTCTCTCTCTCACATTCTTCCTTTCTCTCCCTCTTCCTCTCTCTCTCCCTCTTCCTTTCTCTCTGTCTCTTCCTTTCTCTCTCTCTTCCTTTCTCTCTCTCTTTTGCTTTTTCTCTCACTCTTCCTTTTTCTTTCCTTTCTCTCTCTCCCTCTTCTTCTTTCCTTTTCTCTTCTTTCTCTCCCTCTTCCTTTCTCTCTCTCGTTCTTTCCTTTCCCTCTTCCTCTCTCTCTTCCTTTCTCTCTCCCTCTTCCTTTCTCTCTCTCTCTTCCTTTCTCTCTCCCTCCTCCTTCCTTTCTGTGTCTGTCTCTCTCTCTGCCATATCATGCCTGGGTTTCTTTATTACTTGAAATAATTCTTGAGTTTTTGTGGTACTTATATTACCATCCCTCTACTCAATCTTATCAAATTACTGGTTGTGTTCCGCCTGCTTTTCTTTCTCCCAGGATGCCCTGTAAGTGTTAAATTCCCCAAACCATTAATTTTAGATTTTGCAAGCTATCTCTTTCTGATTGTTAACGATTTCTTTGTCGTTCTAGTCTCCTTGAAATTTCTTCCTTTCTCATTCTCAGTTTGAAGAATTTTCTGCATTCGTCAGAAAAACAAAAAATTTGCCGCTTCAAGTATCTTATTCATCTGTGAGGAAATTGTACAACATTCACTGACATATACATGAGGAATTGCATAACAGTCCTGGACATTTTTTTTTCTTTGATTCTAAGAACATATTTTGACCTCTTAATACAATTGCTTGGGAGGCACGGTGGAGTAATGGTTAGCGGCTCGGATTGAGGAATCGGAGAGCTAGTCAAATCCATTACATTCACTTATGTGCTAATACCCTTGGGAAAGGTATGAAGAATCCTCTTTTTTTCCACCAGCTATGCGTAAATAGCAACACAGACCAGGTTCTATAGCCTTGTATGGCAACTGGTCTACCGCAGAAAGAAAAGGCAACCTACTCGTCAGTCATGTATCGAGAGATACACGATCGCCTACTCGTCAATCACGCATGGCACATAACCGACTGAATACAATTTTTTTTTAAGCGATTCACCCCAAGCAAGGTGGAAAGCCACTAGGACGCAAGGGGTTACAGAAAATTTGGAGCAAGGTCAGATAGGAGTGATAGAAGAAAGGATGAGGAGAAGAGTAGTGGATAGATCAAGGTAACTGGAGATACAGAGGCCAGAGAGAGAGAGAGAGAGAGAGAGAGAGGGGGGGAGAGGGAGAGAGAGAGAGTACCGGGAACCCCTTCCTAAACAAGAAACAAGGCGTAAGCCTCTACTCATGTCCAAGAGAAGGGGGAGGAGTGTGGACCGGGCGGTAGGAAAGCCTACCTACTCCTATTGCTTAGTATCTGAGAATTCTCTGCCATTCCTGTAACGGACTTTCCGTTATTTGTGACTATACTATACAGTTATTTAAAATTCCACACCTGGACATATGTAAATATTGGTCACTTATATCTGAAGCATTTGCTTGGTTCAGGGATAGGGAAATATTGGTCACTTATATTTGGGTATATAAACCTTTACTTAGTAGATGTTCCTCTACGCACGCACACACACACACACACACACACACACCTTTTTGAGTGAAATTTTACGCCTCTACCGTGGATAAAGATGACATATTCTAGGGAGTTATAAATCTGAAGATGTTCTTTCGCTGCCTTGGATGTTTAATGAACATCCAGTTAAATTCATTACATTCACTTACGTGCTAATACCCTTGGGAAAGGCATGAATCCTCTTCTTCTCTCCCTTCCCCAGCTATGGATAAATAGCAGGACAAACCGGATTCTATAGCTGGATGGTAACTAGTCTACCACAGAAAGAAATGGCAACCTACTGCTGGGAAAAATCTGCATCGTCAGTCATGTATCGAAATATACATGATCGCCTAAGCGTGTATCACTCATGGCACATAACTGACTTTTCGAAAGTCTTCTGCGTATGTTTAAGCATGGAAACAAAGCGTTACTTTCGACCAAGGACAGATAAAAAAAATTATCAACATATCAAATTTCCACAATACATAGAATGCATGAAGATACAGATCTTTCCTTATTAGCAAACTCCATAATGGACCTTTGGTTATTAACCGACTGAGGAATGTCTTTCGAGAAACTTTTGTTGAAAAATTCACTCATTAGAAATAGTTGCTCAGGGGTTTGGGGCCCCGAAGTTTAAGCTTCATTAGTTTTATAGTAAATCCGTCACTGGGCAAATAAAAAAACCCTCTCGGGTGGATATTAGGGTTTGTAGTTGAAGGCGACTAGTTTAAGCACCACCTTCAAGCAAGTAAATAACCCCAATCATAATTTTCAGGGCAATTGTTACTGACGATAACCTTTGACACGCTTAGCATTATACTAATCTTCCTCTTTCCTGTCTGATATGGAATTAGCTGGCTTGATTTGAAGCTGTTGTAAGAGAAATCTTTTATCAACTGTCTTCTATTGTTTTGCAATGCCGTTTCGAGTTTTCTTTCTCGCTAATTACTCTTAGTCTCGAGTGACATTTACGTGGAGGCGGTTATACGACTGTTTTTGTTTCTTGTCATGATATGGAAAGAAGAGTTTAAAACACAACGCAGACCACGTACCCCTCTTTAGTATGCGCTTGCATCAATAAAAATGACTCCTCTTTCTATCTGTACCATATCCCTTCAGGACATAGGTGATCATGGCTCTCGACTGCTTCCTACCATTTGTAACGTTTTGCAAGCTTTGTCTTTTTTTTCTCTCTTCGTCCTCATCTCTATTCTGACATCCACTTGCACAAGCTCGTTAGGCAGGTTATTCACTGATTTCCTCTGTCTCTTTCGTTTTCAACATGTCCTTTGAGTGTCAAATTCTCCAAACCTTCTTTCCTCATTATGTACCGTAGATATTTCAGTTGTCTCTGATTCTATGTTGACATGCCCTTTTTGTTTTTATTTTACCTAAAACTTCATCTTTACTCACACCCTGTACATGTTATTCTCAGCATCCTTCGGTAGAACTACATTTCTGCGGCTTCAGTTCTCTTCTTCATCTGTTAATATTTAACAGTCCCGTCCCACCCGAAAAATGTATGTGACACAAGGCTGAGTTTACTGTGGGTTCTCCGAGACCGTAGGCTCGGCCAAAAATATTTCCTTAAAACCCGTATAAACGGGTTCAGGGTCTGTCTACATTCCCGGACGAAACTTTGCCCTTCGGCACAGCTAGTCCGGGTTCCTCTCCGCCCAAAACAGATAGTTCAACAGGGGCTGCGAACCTTCACAGCCTCAGTAGAACAGTCTATATCACTGTTCTTCTTCATGTGTCAGGAGATTGTCCAGTATTCACTGCCTTTATAGGAGTTCGCTCATTGCATAAACGTTCAGCACTCTTTTCTTTGGTTCTAACGAAATTTTCCCCTTTCTTAATATTTCAACAATTATTATTATTATTATTATTTTATTATTATTATTATTATTATTATTATTATTAAAAAGTAGCTAGGTTAGGGTTCACCTAGTAATATCAAATATCTCATTGTCGTCACTTGTAATTCGGTAACGGCAGTATCCTGGGTTCCAGTTCCTGTCTTAGAACTTTTATTGACTCTAGCTGACATTGCAGATTCTTCTTTGAAACTTTGACAAAACGTATATCTTTAACAAAGAAAAGAAGTGAAGCAGACTATAATAGTACTGATAGCTACGTGAATATATAATAAATATAAATATAAATATATATATATATATATATATATATATATATATATATATATATAAAATTTTGAAAAAACAAACAAAAATCCTTAAATGTAGTTAAAATGAAAGAAATGTCGACGTCTGACGTTTCAGTTTAAAAACCTTTTTCAAAGAGAATATTCATCGAAATACAATTCAGTTCAATTTTAGAAATAATAGATGGACATTCAAACACAAGTCTTATTCAAACATAATTGCCAAACTTTTAGGAATATTCCGTTATGAAAGCGTCGCCACATGTGACGACGGCATAACCATGTTCCCTAAAAGGAAGATCATTTTTTAAAATTTTCAGTTATCTGTTCTGAATAAGACTTGTGTTTTTATGTCCATCGTATTTGTCATATTGAACTGAATTGTATTTTGATGAATATTGTCTTGAAAAAGGTTTATTAAACCGAAACGTCAGACGTCGACATTTCTTTCATTTTAACTACATTTAAGGATTTTTGTTTGTTTTTTCAAAATTTCTTCATTCTGTCGGATTTATATCCATTTACACTTGCTTATATATATATATATATATATATATATATATATATATATATATATATTAAATTTAAATAAATGCAAAATTGTGTTAGTGATTTAAACTCCTTTTTTACACACTAGTTTGTTTGGATCACTGATACAACTTTGTTTAGCTTATACTGTCCAAAATATGGTGACACGTATAGCTCAAAAAAAAAAAGAAAAAAAAAAAGAAAAAGAAAACAATAATATTTAGTTTTCGTATATAATGCGCAACCCTAATTTTTAGATCAGTAGTTCTCAAAACTTTTTTCCTCTGGGCCGCAATTTCGGAATGAAAATTTGCTCGCACCTCATCATAATTTTATGTGATAAAAAGTACATAAAAAAAAAACACAGAGAAAAGTTTAAAGGGAGATAACCGCGTATTCGAAGTCAGAAAACTCATCAATAACTTTCGCCTCCAAGTTGCGGACGCTAGTTACTATATTCTTAATACTTGATATAATGCAAAAAATATCACAGTGATAAAATTGATCAACATAACTATTTACACTGGAACTAATGCATGCAATTACGAGTTAGCCTTAATAATATTTCAAATTTTGAAATCATATTTATCTTTGGCATATGAATTTTTTGAAACGGTTGCTAAATCTTTGATTGTCTTTCAATCATTCCACCTCACCTGCTATCCTCTTCCACCTCCCCTATGAGAGGCGCCGAACCGTTTGAGAACCAATATTCTAAACTTTTAAATCTAGGCGTTTTTTTTACACGAATAATTACGGTATTATTAATGGACCTTATTGTTTTTAAATTGTATCAAGAATACTATGAAAATTGTAAGTGTTTTGAAATGTCTTTGTTTTTCTGTTGTGTCTAGTAGATATTTGACCTCGTTTTGAAAATAAAAGACATCTGAGACAGGATTAGAGCCAAGTATAAGCAATTAAAACACTCATTCAATGGCGCCGAAACTTATCAAGCTGACATACGGCTTTAGGTTTAGAAAATGACACAGTCATTCTTCAAGAGGTCAAGTGAACCACCAAATCGCTTGATAGGCACTTGGTAATGACCTCTTGTTCACCACCAACCACATCGCTTCAGTC